GGGCCGTCCAATCTGGGGGAACTACAATTGGTGTAGAGATAAGTTTCTGCTTCAGCTCTTTGAATGCGCCATGGCATTTCTGATCGAACACAAAGGGTTGGTTCTGTTGCAGCAAGGTGCACAAAGGCTTGAATAGTGTGGAAAAATCCTTGATAAATCGTCTGTAAAAACCAGCATGGCCAAGGAAACTTCGAATGCCCTTGACAGAATTTGGTGGGGGAAGCTTCTCGATCACCTCGATCTTAGCCTTGTCGACCTCAATGCCCTTTGCAAAAATTTTATGTCCTAGAACAATGCCTTCAGTCACCATGAAGTGGCATTTTTCCCAGTTTAGTACGAGATCAGCCTCCTCGCATCGCTTCAATACCTTTGCCAAATTGCCGAGGCATTTTTGAAAATCGTCTCCGGAAACAGAAAAATCGTCCATAAAAATTTCCAAAAAATCCTCCACCATGTCAGAAAAGATGGCTTGCATGCAACGCTGAAAAGTTGTCGGGGTATTACAGAGTCCAAAAGGCATTCTTCGAAAAGCATATGTGCCATACGGGCACGTGAATGTCGTTTTCTCTTGGTCCTCTGGTGCTATGGCAATTTGATTATACCCTGAATAACCATCCAAGAAACAATAGTATGCCTTGCCCGCAAGTCGATCCAGCATTTGATCGATGAATGGAAAAGGAAAATGATCATTCTTGGTGGCCTTGTTAAGCCTGCGGTAGTCCATGCAGATGCGCCATCCAGTGACAGTGCGAGTAGGTATTAAGTCATTTCCTTCGCTCGTTACCACGGTCATGCCTCCCTTTTTAGGCACGCATTGGACGGGACTGACCCACGAACTATCCGAAATAGGGTATATCACTCCAGCATCGAGCCATTTGAGAACCTCTTTCATCACAACGTGCTTCATGATTGGATTTAATCTTCGTTGTGGCTCTATGGATTTGCCATGGCATTCTTCCAGCAAAATTTTGTGCATGCAGATTGTTGGACTTATTCCCTTGAGATCTACCATCGTCCACCCTAACGCTTTCTTATGCTGTGATAAAACACTTAGCAAACTAGATTCTTGGGTAGGAGTAAGGGCAGAGGAAATAATCACAGGAAAAGTTTCATTACTACCCAGATAAGCATATTTAAGATGTTGTGGCAAATTTTTAAGTTCAAGGGTAGGTGCATGCTGTAATGAGGACTTAGGAGGAACAAACTCTTCGAAACTCAAAGGTTTAAAGCGCGTACCTGGGCTAGCTTTAAGGAAGCTAGCCTGCTGTTCCTCGGATGAAAAGTCATTTGGCTTTTCAAGGAGCCTCTCATCAATATCTAGCTGAATGAAATTGTCGTGGCAAAATTGATCTGCCTCTTTTGTAATTTCAGTGTCTACCTAAAAAATGCTCTGACATTCTTCATAATCATCCATGTGTTTGAGAGATCGGAAAACATTAACAGTGATCTGTTGATCGGCCACTCTCATGGTTAGCTCGCCCTTCTCGCAATCGATGAGAATACGACCGGTGGCTAGGAAAGGTCTCCCCAATATAATGGGCGCTGTGGCGTTGACCTCACAGTCCAGAATCAGAAAATCGACAGGGAAAACGAACTTGTCAACCCTCACGATGACATCTTCAATTCGCCCTTCTGGACGCACGTGTGAACGATCGGCAAGTTGCAAGATGACTGAAGTAGGTCTCGCATTTCCTATCCCCAGTTTTACGAAAATCGACTTAGGCATCAAGTTTACACTTGAGCCAAGGTCACACTGTGCTTTTCCAACAAATTTGTTTCCAATCGAACATGGAATGATAAAGCTGCCTGGATCACGTCTTTTTGGTGGTAGCTTGCTTAAGGAAGAGCAAAATTCTTTTGTTGCCGTGGCAATTGTTTCGTACTGCTCAACCTTTCTCTTCTTGGTGACGATTTCTTTTAGAAATTTAGCATATGTGGGCATTTGTTCCATTGCTTCAAGAAAAGGAACATTGATCTGCAGTTGACCCAGAATGTCAACAAATTTTTTAAACTGAGTATCCTCGTTATGTTTCTTCAGTCTTTGCGGAAAAGGAGATGGGGTCTGGCTTCTTGTAATGATGGGGTGCGAACAGAAGTTACCGTGGCATTTTTATTTGCCCCCTCAGCTTTGTTACTTGATGAACCCTCAGATTTATCTTCTTCCTTCGGTGCTTCCTCCTGCAGTTCTTTATCAGCTTGACTGGTTGTGGGGGGTGAATCTTCCTTCGGTTTCCCCCCAGACTTATCTTCTATATTAATTTGTGTACCACTTCGGAGAGTTAGCACATTGCATTGTTCTTTGCTATGAGGTTTGGTGACTTCAGTGTCACTTGGCAAATGTCCGGGTTTGCGTTCTTGTAATGCCATGACAATCTGACCTACTTGACTCTCTAGTGCCCTTAACGATGAACTATGGCTCTGGAGTAGAGCTTCTTGATTTTTTATAGAGGTCGAGTGGTCTTGCAGCATTGATTTTGTTGTTGCAATGAATTCTTGCATTGTGGCCTCCAAAGAACTAGTATTTGATGAAGATGGCCCTCCCTTGTTTTGATTATGCCATGGCATATTCGATTGATAGCCCTGGGAATCATTAAAATTCTACTGACGAGCTGGCTGTTGAGCAGTGTTGTTTCCTTGATTTCCCCAAGAAAAATTTGGATGCTGACGCCATCCAGGATTATAGGTGTTTGAATAGGGGTTGTTATTGCCTCGATTAAAATTGCCAACAAAGTTGATGGATTCTTGATTGGTTGGGCAATTACTCTCATTGTGATTGCCTTGGCATAATAAACAAACTGAACAGGCTGCCTTCGCTTCCCTTACCTCACTTGGCCTTTGTAAATTTTTTAACATGTTGGTAATGGCAGCAAGTTGGGCTGACACGGCATCATTAGAATCTAGCTCGAGAGCTCCATGTGTCTTACGCCCAAACCCATGCTTATTTGAGGGAAATTGATAATCATTGGTAGTAATCCTATCCAAGATGTCAAATGTCTCTACTGGTGATTTATCCAGTAACGTCCCATTTGCCGAGGCATCTAGCATCATCCTCGTGGGTGCGTTTACTCCATTATAGAACATCACTACTTGTGTCCAATCTTGAAAACCATGGTTTGAACACTTGCGAAGCAATGCTTTGTATCTATCCCAGCACTCATGCATCGACTCGTCATCAGCTTGACGGAATGAAGCAATGTCGTTCCTAAGTTAGGTGTTCATGTTCGGAGGATTATACCGCAGCAAAAAATATTTGCACAGATCTGTCCATGACTCCATAGAACCCGTTGGAACTCCATTCAACCATGCCCTTGCTCTGTCTCGTAGGGAATATGGGAATAGCTTTAATTTCAGAACATCTTCGTGCACCCCTTGTTGGCGAAAAGAATTGCACACTTCCAAGAAGTTACGAATATGATGCCTGGCATCTTCATTTGGCATGCCCCCAAACTGCCCTATAGAGTTTAACATGTTGAACATGACAGGTTTCAGCTCGAAATGGGCTGCCTGAATATCGGGTGCCATAATTCCAGGGTTGAGATCCTCTAAGATTGGATTTAAATGATCACGAATAGCCCGAGGCCTAGCTGCATTCCCAGCATTTGGATTTGCCTCGGCATGTTGATCACCCTCATGGCCAATGCCCTGATTTTCGAGTTGGTACATATTGAGACGTTGTGCTCGTCTTCTTTGTCTAAAGAGACTTTCAATTTCAGGATCAATAGGTTCCAATGGCTCTTCAGGGTTTCTTCTGGTCATAAACTCGAAAAAATCTGAAAAATTAAAGAAAATATAAAGTAAAGATAACTAAAAAAAATTTACACAAGTAATATAAAAATGCTATGACAAATCAATTTAACTTCCAGTTGCAATTCCCCGGCAACGGCGCCAAAAACTTGTCTGCTATTTGTGAGTACTAAAATATGATGCGGATATGTGTGCAAGTATACACAATCGAACAAGTAATAAAGTGATAAGTAGAGTATCGTCTGCATAGGGAATTGGAGAAATCAAATAGGTTTGTCAAGGCACTTTACTTTGTCACCTAAGTAAAGTTTGTTATGGTATATACATATGAGAATGCAGTGGCAAAATGGAATGGACGTAGTGGAAATGGAGTGGTGATAGTGTGGTAGCAGATGGATATGTCATGGCAAATTAAATTGTGATACGTGAAAACAAATGGAAATGTCAAGGCAAAATAAAAATGCAAATACTAGATTTAATATATGTAGGACTTTAGCTTTCTCACAAGACAAGCAGCAATGGAAATGAGTGATGGGAGACACAAGGAAAACTTAAGTTTATTTCTCTGAATGGTATGTGAGTACATTGAGGTTGTGCACTAATGCTGTCACCACAGCTCGTATCAATTCCCTCATGGGGCACCGAACCTTAGTTCAGTATTCGTCCCGTAGGACCACTATGTCCCGAAGGACCACTGTATATGTCCCGTAGGACCACTATGTCCCGAAGGACTACTCCTTAAGAACCACATACATAATACAATGGCTCCAATAAGTGTACCGAAGTACTACATATAGGTTCCACATAATTACATACATGTCCCGAAGGACCACGTAGAACCCTCGACTCTTGGCATGCCAACTATACCTATAGCTCTCATATCATATACTATGGGCATTATTCTTATGTTTCATATCACTTGTTCCTTTTCTTCTGTCACATACCATATGTATGTGTGAACATATATCTCATATCATATAACCTTTATCTCAAGTGCATGTAATCACATATTACATGTAATCACGTAGATCATTTCATATGGATTATATCATTTCTCATTTTTCATGTAAACACACATGTCATATCTTATTCACATATGTTCATATATACATCATATATCACATAGAATAACATATAAACTTATACATATATTCATGTACATACTTTCATATAGTTCGTATATCAATGCCCTATAACTTATCTCACATTATTTATATCCTAGTTTCATATATTTACTTAATTCAATTTCACATAACTTGTTACCTATATATATATTCTTATAACTTATCATCACATAACTCCCATAACATCTTCCTATAGCTTCATAGATCTTTACTATATGACTCATATATTATATGTTAATTTAATCCCATAACTCTTCCCATATAGCTTATCTTACATGTTCATATAATCACTTCTGTCAATGTCTCCTAATTTATATATTATTTTCATATTGTCCTATAGGTCAATGTTATTTAACTTGTCTCACTTTTCATTTCATCTCATAAGTTGGTTATACTAATTCTCATATATTTAACTCGTGTAATTTATATCTTGTTATTATATCCTCAACTAGACCTATATCCACATGTTCATAATCACATAACTTATATTCTTTTTCATATAATCACATATGTCTATGTCGTTTAACTTATCATTTATATCTATATCATCTATTTTATATCATTTTCTCTTGCTATCACATAAGTCCTTGCTATTTTTACATAGTTCGCGATCCTATAGTCAATTATAATAGCATATGTTTATCTTATCTAATATCATATAGTTCTTTAACTTATGTCTTATATCACATATTTATATTATAAACTTATATAATCACATATACTATTTAAACCAGTTCACATAGCTTATCACACTAACATATATTCATTCAATTCATGTAACATATGCAATACATATAACATATGTACCCATTTTCATGCACTCATGCAAACATAAGAATCACAATTCAAATAACATTTTTAGGAGTCCCTTCTTACCATAGTGACTCCATCACTGGCTCATCGCAAGCCAATGTTTATTTGGTACATAAGTACAATTTAAATTGCACTCACCTTAGCTTTGCTTTGATTTGAATCAATCCTAATCCTTCGATTGTTCCGGAAGAAGCTTACTTTTAGTATCTACATAATCACACATGGATCTATATCAGTATTATAACTAATATATTCTAATGGTTCACTATTTAGACTAAGAGAAAAGTCAATTTCATCTTTTAACGAAGGTATGCATCGATGCACCACTGATGCATCGGTGCATAAAATGCATTCGATGTTGTATTATTACTGGGATGCATCGATGCACTCCTTATGCATCGATGCATTAATTACATTCGATGTTTTTATCTTAAAAGAGTGCATCGATGCACTACCAATGCATCGATACACCTTTAACCAATTTCTGGGTTTTAACCTTGATGCATCGATGCACTATGAATGTGCATCGATGCACTCTGCCCATAATCCTCTTTTTGAACCCGAAAACTCATTCATTTTGGATTAAATCCTTTATATTTCAACCCCTTTCATATTCCTAACTTTCATATACATAATTAAACTCATTAATATTCATTTATCTCATCTTTAACCTTAATATCCTCTCCTCTTTAGGAATTTCAAGAATCATACCCTATTTTTCACATGTTTCAAATCCAATTCTAACACTTAATACTTCTTAATTAAGCTGGTGGCAAGTCAAATCCAACTTTAGAGCTTCAAAAACCTTTCTATAACAAAAGTTCATTTATAAACCCTTAATAGAAATTCCTTTCTAATTCTATCTCTTTGGTGTTTTAAACTTATATAAGCTTTCCTTAAGCTTATATAACCCTCAAAGACTCAAATCCAACTTAAAACTTTCAAGAAATCAAAAGCTAAATCAAACTTACCTTTGCTCTTGGCTTCCACGTGAAGAAGAGGAAGAAAGGAGAAGAGAATTCTGGAGAATTCTCTCCCTTTCCACGTGTATATAATTCCATTTTTTTCCTTAAATAATCAAATGACCATTTTACCCTTTATTTCCTTTAATAATTACTAAATAACCTTCATCATATATATCCAATAATCATTGAACTACTTCATTCTTCTACTATAGTCATCAAATTCTAAAACTTTACAATTTGGTCACTAACCCATAATTTGGGATGTTACATGCTTCTTCTATGCTTACCCTGCTCGACAGAGTCTACTGATGTGCCCTATGCTATCTCTAGTAAGGGACTCGACAGACTAAAGATGCCCTGGCAAAACCGATTGGCGTAAGCCCAAGCAGTGATCTTATTGACTCAGCTAATAGAATATGTCTCGGCAATACCTTTTTGCGGCAGCATTAACATCTAACCTATCATTTATACACAACTCCTTTTAGTCGAATGAAATCCTATTCTTATCTCTAAGGTGGATTAGGCCTAGTTACTATCTAGAACCCGTTGTTTATGTAGTTCCTCCCTAGCTTCTCTCGAAGACTAAAGATAAATTGCCAAGGCATTCTCTCGAACCTCATGAACCCTCCTAAGGAAAGGCTACTCTCGTAGCTCCTACAACCTCAAGACTTTAAGCATCATAAACAAAACAGAATAGAGCATGAAACAACAACCATTCATTAAAATAACAACTTAAATAACCATGCGAACTCCCACCAAATAGGATTAGTTCATGGTGGGGCTCGAAATCAACAAGCACAAAGCAAGATTCATTCGAACAACAACCATTCATTAAAATAACAACTTAAATAACCATGCGAACTCCCACCAAATAGGATTAGTTCATGGTGGGGCTCAAAATCAACAAGCACAAAGCAAGATTCATTCGTTCCTTACAACCCAACAACAAAATATAAAAGCAAGGACTAAGGGGAGGAGAGAAAGCCTTCGACGTGCACTGCCAAATGCCTTCCTCGGCCACCAAGGACTGCTCCCAGCGGACTAGCTCCTCTCGGATGCTCAGAACGCCACTCCCTTCTGCTAGTCAAGGAGAAATGCCACGGCAAGTGGGATTGACGGAGAAAGATGAGACTTTCTCTCTCTAACTTTTTAAGATCAAATGTGGCTGGAACTAAAGTCCTCTTCAATATGGCTTCCTCCTCTATTTATAGGGGAAAAGAAATCCTAAGGTTTGGTGTTAACCATCCTAGGAAACCCCAAAACCATAGTTGAGTTGCTTGGGAGTCGAGCAGACTAGGCAATGATACAGCCTAGGTAGCTGGCTAGAGACCGGCATAATCCCGCTACAGGCACCCTAGGACCGACAGGATCTGCAGGGTCAGACTAGGCAACGTCATCAACAGAATTGGTGGTTGAAGCGCCAAAATGCTACGGTAGGTATCTCGGGCAGAGCATGCGTAAAATCCGGGACAGCTGGCTAGAAAATATCTTCTCTCTCCTTGTACGCTCCTGAAATGCCATTTGAACTTGGCATTTTTATTTAGCTCAGCAATATCCTTATGTCACGGAATTTTAAATCCTCTTTTCCTTGCTTTCAACACCTGCATATCATCAGACAAGTACATTTCCCATAAAGCAGCACCGCTGTAAAAATAAAATGTCACGGCAAACTGAAATCCACCACATGCAACTATATGCTCCTAAATGCATCTAAATGGTCCTAAATAGGCTCTTAGACATTCAATAACTTAAGTGAAAAGGTCCCAAAATATGACATTTTCAAGGAGTTATCACCCCCCTCCTCAGACAACACATGCATACACACTAGAACAGAGATGGCTTTTACTATTACAATACATATAAATACACACACCAAATCCGGGCGAGAATGTGTGGCTCCAAGGACATCATGACGGTGGGGTTGAGCTTCAACATCCCAAATAAGAACCTAGATTTAAGCAAGTCAAATACCAGGTGCATTTGTAACATCTTTATAGAAAGAAAACGTGACAGGAATATTGGTTTCACATAATTAAAAAACAGAAATAACAAGAGTCTTACATCTGGAGTATCAGTGTGTGTAGCAACAATCTTAGAGTTCTGTAGAAGTTCTCTGATTCTGTTCACCTGCAAGATAGTATTTAGCAGTCACAATATATAAACTACCAAATGAAAACGAAGAAGAAATGATAATAATTAAATTATATTGCTATATAAGCAAAACAGGTAGTTAAGTAAGCAGGATATCTATTCCCGAAGATGTCCTTCGTCAGAAGCAAAGACTATATTTCGATTTCCATCTTGAAAGGAAGTATCAATTGTCAAATCAAGATATCATTTATTTTACATGGTTGAGTTCCAAAAAAAAAACTGTTAATGGATAAGTCAACCAACAGACAACAACTTTACAAAAAAATCAAAACACATTCTTGTAAGAATGTGCAAGATTCATACCTCTCCGGGATGTATGAGGGTCTTGTACTTCTTCACAATTGGTGGGCGTGCTTCTTCATTAGACTGAAAAATATGAAGCAATAAGAAAGCTGCATGCATCAGTACTGAATTGCACAAAGGAAAGAAGATCCAACGAAAATGAGTAACCACAAACCGAGATATGTGCTCAGCAGAAGCAACCCGAGGTTTGACAACTTCACAATTCGCAATCACAAGAGTATTCTGAACACTACCATCCGTCTGGTGTCATATTATAGGACAATAACCAAGAGAAACGCTGTCAAAATAGACAATAAAAACATATTTTTCCCAAAAAAAAAAGGAATAATGTTAAGTAAAATGAAACATCATGCATGAATTAGGACTCCAAAAGAGAGATTTTGTTATGTAAAACTGAAACATCAAACAACCAACACAAAAATGACACCCTAAACTACATAAACACTTATTTTTTTGGTGTCTCACTGCTGTTGTTGCCAATGAGTTCCTTCACGTTAAACTACTCTGATTTACAATTAACTGATTTCTGAGACAAAATAACCAAGCTAGAGACATCTTCTTCTCCCTGATTTTAAACCTTTTTCTCTGCATAAACGGGTTTTTATGTCTCCACTCTTCAATCTCCAAAACTCTTAAAACAATCTCATCTTCAAACTCTACGGTTGTGCCATCCGAATTACCAAGACAACCATCAAGGAAAGGTATATTTTGTTTGTGTAAAGTAAACGAAAAAACACAAGAAATTTATCGAGGTTCGGCAATATGGGTGATAGAAATTTTATTCAATGTCTCATAGGTTTAGGTTGCATCTCTATTTATAATAGAAAATTCTGGTAGATAATTACAAAATTAACCATGTATCATACCGCAGCCCCCACACCCCCAACCCATATAATCGTAATCACACTACAAGACTTCCTTTGTAAGGACAGTTGATGTTCGCTTCGCTCACTTTCTGTTTTGTAAGTTCGAGGAGGAGGAGGAACGTTAATTTTTTTATAAAAAAATTTAATTGTTGCGTAATATTTCCATTAAAGAATTAACGGGAGTTAGCGACTAAAGGATTAAAATTGAACAGATCAATAACTTTAGGAACCATAATTGAACGGATTAATAACATTAGAGACATAGATTTTTTAAAATTTTTAATTGACGCATAATGCTTTCTTTTAATTAAAGGATTAACTAAAGGTAACAACTGAGGGACTAAAATCGAATGAATCGATAATATTAAGGACCATAATCAAACGGATCGATAACATTATGTATTATAATCGAACAGATCAATAACATTATGGACTATAATCGAACAAATCGATAACATTAGAGACCATGTACCCTTGATCTTTAAATTGGTGACAAAAGTCGATCTAACCAATAAGGGACCATTTACATAGTTTACCGAAAAATTACTTATATGTGAAATCTATGCTTCTGTATATTCCCCCATGAGGGTATCGAACATCACAATTCGATGTCTTAAATTTTCTATCGAGTCTTGGTTCGGACAACACCGCTGATCTTAAATTGCACTTATTGTTTCGAAACTGATAACATTCTTCCGGTCCACCGGAGAGATAAAGATGGATCTTTCACATTGAACTACTTTGTGCAAGTGAGAAATCTGATAAAATCACGTGGTAAGAAGTAAGAACACTCTGCCACGGGTGACATCAAAATGTTATCAAAGAAGCTATCCTCATCTGATAAATTATGTCTGTAAATGACAATGTCAAATCCATGATCCATAACATGACATAACTCCGGCTAGGGAGATCGTTTTAGACGTAAACACCAGCCGAGAGTAGCAGAAACAATGATCCGAAACCCTGTGAGGGTATTAAGAAGCAAGCATCAATAATGCACAAATAACTAAGGTATTATGGAAGAGAGAAATCCGGACAAAAGGATACAGAAAGCTATACCAGGAAGACGGACGCTACTCCCCCAGTGGCGAGCTCCTTTGCAAGACTGCGGTTTCGCTTAGAAGAAGTTGCTTCATAACTGCATGTTTTGGATAATATCGAACAGTATAGATACCATGAAAACTTAATTTGACAAACATCAGCAGCATATGCACAATTAAAGAATTTCAGGAAAACAAATCAATGCAGAAGGGAGTTTGAAGAGGGACCATTGCAGTACTATTAAGAGATTTCAAAGTTCTAATTACATAATACAACCGACTCGGAACTCTTTAGCCAAAAGATGCATGCGTACGTTACAAGGTGAGCATCAGTGCAGATGAAATGAAAAAAGACCTATAAGTTATCACAATGAGATCCCACGCATGCAAAGAGATTGATTACTTTCAAGGAAGCAAACACAGGTAGGATAAAAGGGCAGTGGAAGTAAAAAGAACGCTCAAGTTCTAACCGTAAGGTTGGTCGGAAAACAATGTGCTAACTGCTAACAGCAAAATCAACAAAACATGATGCATGAATAATGATAAGAAACTAGACGGGCTAAAATACAACTTTGCACATGCTAAAAGTTTATCACTCTCTTTCTAAATTCAGCTTAATGCCTTGAGCAATGTTATGGAATTAATAGATTAAACAAAAGTTCAAAGTCGAAAAACATGAGACTGTAAACCAGAAAAAGACTGAGATACTCTCCGAAAATAGAAATAAACCCAAAAGAAACCAAAGCAGACACCTCGGCTGCAACCGACAATTCAAATTAGCTACCCACCAAAACACAAAGGGCAAGGAGGATCATCCACTTCAAATTCACATTTGTATTCTATTCTCAACAACTATAAAAGAATAAATTGTAGCCTAGCAATTTCCTAGTAAAAAAGAAGATATATATTCTAAACATCTCAACAAATCTACGGAGGGAACATTTTAAATTACACAAACTGAGTTTCAAATTTGGCTAATGTTTCCCTATTGCATAGGCAATTATCAAGTACAAATCATACAAGAATAACCATATCTATTTATACAAAATTTCAAGTATGATATAAGTGCAAAAAACAAAAACCGCATCCTAAATCGAATCAATAAGAACAAAAGAAAAGGGAGAAAGAAGATCATTATAGCAAAATAAGAAGAAATGTTGTGGAGGAGATAAGATCAAGGTAATTACATGAAGAAGGAAGCGGTGAGGACAAGGCCAACGGCGAGCATCAAGACGGCTAGGGTTGGGTACCACGCATCTGGAACTGGACTCGTTATTGCTTTTGCAGAAGCCTGGAACAAAAAAAAACAATGAATCAAAACAAATTCACAAAGATAATTAAACAAAAAGAACACAAGGGAGATCCGATCTGAATGGAGATAGACTTACCATCGATCTTTGAGTGGACGACACGGGCTTCTAGAGCAGTTGTTTGAGTTTTATTAGGCCGACTGAACTCCCAAATCTCAAGCCTTGGTTTGTTTTGGAACTTAGGATTCCCTACACCCAAGCGTATAATTTTTCTTTTAATAAATTATTTTCATTGGATTTGAGATTCGAACATATAATATTTTAAAAAAATATAATAATTAAGCCAATAATATAAATACACTGAATAATAATGCATAAGAATAAAAATATATTTCTTTTAATACAATACACTGAACATATAATAATTAACCCAATCCTTTCTTCACGTTGTAGCAGTCGGAAACATTTATGACTATACCGATAGCTCGATACTTCGAAGCATATAGGAGCACCACACTTCCTCCTGCGTTACATTATCTCCGGTCACCGGCCACGATAGAAAAACGCCGATGGAGAGATTTACGTCGATATCTCGATACTAGTTAATAATAATATCTTGTTGCTTAACTAGTTCATAAAATTTCATGTCGGAAACAGTTGGGGTACTCACCTTTACTATGCCCGAGAATCGCACTTACGACATGATTTTCGCCGGGAAAGTGTTCGAAAACAGCACGTATATCATCGGCTTCCCGATAAAAGCCACCAAGCTGTTGTGGACCTTCACTTTCGCTGAAAATGTATTGTGAAACAAGTTAAATTACAGCCAAGTACTGTGTTATGAATAGGGCTGTAGAGCTCGAGTATTATTGATAGTTTGACTCAACTCGAAAGCTTGTCACATTAAAATTGTTAAGTTCAACTCAAACTCGAAATAAAAAATCGAAGTTTGACTGTCTTGGTTCATACCCACTTTTGAAATACTTGCTGTTGTTTCTGATGTATTCTGTATGATGAATTTGGCAGCTCTGCAGGACAGCCCAAGAAAACCCAGAGATTATGTTCCTAAAAGTCAATTTTGATGAGAATAAGCCTATGTGTAAAAGTTTGAATGTGAAGGTGCTTCCTTGTTTACACTTCTACCGCGGAGCACATGGAAAACTGGGGTCGTTTTCATGTTCCACTATCCAAGGTGTGTATTCTATCCCCTCCGACCCCATAGTCGGACTTGCCCTTGTTAAAACATAATTTGATCCTGTTAGTTAATTGTTCTCCACTTGGCTGCTAGGAAATTGATAAACTTGCTTGAATTGCATACTAGAATCCTTTTTCCGGTGGCGGTCTTTTCGTTCAGAGAACGGTAAGAGAAGTATACAGGCTGGAAGGACAACCGTACGGGGTTTCATGCGAGAGAGCTCTTCTTCATGCATATTTAGGCTTCGAAACTTGCATGTATAGACGATCAGATTTCTTATGAAACAGTATCACCTTACAGAAAACACTTTTCGTTGTCATCTGCAGTTTCAGAAAATAAAGGATGCCATCGAAACACATAGACAACCGCATTGCAGCATCGGCCCGTCAAAGGGAGTCGAAGACCTGAATCTTGAATCTGCATCTGCTCCAATCGATAAGCCAACCGTGTCAACTTGAACACGCGATTCGTTACAAAGCATGTGTCTTCACGTGTGCATTTCCATGTGTATTGCACATCCGGTTGACTCTCATTTTCAGCTTACACAGTATTATCGTATATTGGCATTATTCTACCTGTGTATATATATATATATAACCTCCAAATTTAAGTGGAAATCAAATTCCCATGTTTCTGAATGAAATCGACGTCGAAACTTCAACTCAAAATCAACGTTTGATGACAGGATAGCATACAGCACAAGGCAAAAGCTTCGAATTTATGCTTTGGAGGCTCCTCCCATGGCGTCCCCATGTGGCCCGTTGGCAAAGGTAAATGGAGTTCAATTAAAGAATTCACCAGAGGAAAATTATCAAAATTTTACCATGTTATATGATTCAGAAAACAAACCAGCAAGGAGGCATCAATCTCTGCTTCATAATCTAAGATATGAAATGAAATCCACCACACCAGCCACAGCCAACATTTACAACAAGGTAATTTCAAATTTTGGTTCTAAAAAGAGATACCCAGAACAACAAAATCGCGGCATAATACGAGCTTACTTCCTGCAATGGATCTTCAATGCTTGCCTGTTCCTCTTCTTGACACCAGACTTGGCAACTTTCAGACTCCTATGCACAGCACTCAGTCTTGCAAGGGCTGCTTTGGTTAAATCCGGCCTGTAGTAGTTGTCTGTCACCTGCAATGATTTGGAACATAGAAACGATGTCACAAAGACTAGGTAAGATAAACTGCAAGAACATAAATTTTGAACATAAGTGAAAGCAAGTGAATTCAATCTCATAATAGCATACACAGATTTTCAAAGTTAATTCTACAATTCTTTTCATCGAACAAGCGCGGTTTGAACTAAGGAAGCTTCAGAAGCCAAGCGTAACAAGTACATTTCACAGAAGAATCCAACAAATGGATCCTCCTTCATCACTGCAATATAAAACTTCAAAAAGGCTCTTCCCATATACCTGGGTTTTGACTGCCTTAACCATCCTTGGGAACTCCTTTTTCATGACCGATTTGTGAAGCAAAGTCGACGGTTTGTTCTGCTTCTTGGTCTTGGTGGTCGCTAGCAGCACCGACTGATCTTTGCCACCTTGCTGAATGGTGACAGTTTTCTTGTTTGCCAATCCTACGATTACACAGATCCAGCAATGAACAAGTAATTTAAAACCCAAAAAATGTATTTAGATGAAAAAAATGAATACATTAAGTACTTATTTTGACCAAAAAGATAATTTTAGGTACGATTTTAATCAAAAAATACTTTTGGTAATTAAATTAAAAAGATAATATATTTTAGGTACTTATTTATTAGGGTAGATTATGAATTTTGTACATAAACTATCAGTTTTGATCTCTTTTAGTTTCTAAACTTTTAATTTTTTTCAAAATCATACCTATAGTTTAATTTTTGTTTCATTTTAGTATCACTATTCAAAATTTAACGCTAAGTTTTTTTTAAAGTTTAGATACTAAAACAGACTAAAACTGATAGTTTAGATACTAAATGCGTTAAGTTTTTAACGATTAAAATGAAATAAAAACCAAATATTAGGCATGCTTTTGAAAAAATTGAAAGTTTAGATACTAAACCATACAAAAACTGATGGTTTAGATCCTAAATTCATAATTTATCCTATTTGTTATATAAGCGAAAAGAAAAGCCAAGCCGACCTGCATGTAATCAATTACTCGTACCAACAAGGCGTGTTATCAAAATAATCTTTTCTGAAATCATATACCCGTGTTTAGTTTATAAGCATTCATATCAGGAGTAATAAATCATTGCTTACAATGTTTTTTTAGCTTCATTCTCGAGAATCTCATTCCTTTGTAAATTTTAAGTATTTAACAACTCTGGTCGAATTAGATAGAAATACCCCTAAATTAAATGAAATATTTCAAAATTACTCTGTCCTTTATGATACTCACATTTTAAGGTGAATGTTTTAGATACTCGTATTTTAAGTTGGAACTTGTTTTTAGGTTGCAACCATATTTTAGGTTGAAACTTATTTTAGATACCCATATTTTAAGTTGGAACTTGATTTTAGGTTGCAACCATATTGTAGGTTAGAACTTGTTTTAGATACCCATATTTTAAGTTGGAACTTGCTTTTGGATACTATTTTAGGTTAGAACTTGTTTTAAGTTGTAATCGTATTTTAGGTTGAAAATCAAACTTTCGAGAATAAATCTACAAGATTATTGTTGGAAAAAAATATATGTTATCACTTGGTAAAACATATATTAAATTATTTGTGTATAAATTTTATTAAAAATATATAAATTAGAAATAATAAAAAAATATTTTCTATGAACTTTCATTTGTTAAAAAAATTATTTTAAGAGTATTTTGGTAAAACATGTAATTTTTTATATTTATTTATCTAAACACTATGATCTTATATTTTTGTCAATTAAACTAAATAAGATAATATAATATTACTTGGAATGTGTTGAGTAATCTTATTCGCACCTAATTATCTTCCGGTTCTATTTATCAATTTTCCTGCGTTTTTCTTGTTAATTTTTACATCCGAGAAGACGAAGGAAGCCAGGTAAAAAGGAAAAATGGAGCAATGGGTTCCGTTGTTCGACATTTTCATGAATAGCCCAACACCTGAAACCGAAGCATCTCTTTGGCTACAACAAAGTTTCAATGCGACAACATCTTCATCGTCAACAATAACTCCAATCACTACAAGCTCTTTCCTCTCTTTGCTTAACAAACCCTGCAATCCCATTGTCAAAGACTCATCTTTCTCTCCACCTAACACCTCAAAAAGGTAAACCCAGAAATTTCAAGCTATAGAGATGCTTCCTTTTGCCTTTTTTTTTTCTTTTTCAATTTTGGTGATTGATGAGTTGATCTCTTGTTATTTTGCTTAAGGGTTATCTTTATAGAGACGCTACCAGGTATGGTTCAGTCAAGAATATTGTCGTTTCTTGCTTTGGAGAACAAAAAGTTTAATGAGAAGGAATTATCTAAGATGGCACGTAATTTGTTGAGTGAAAATAACGGGCTCGATTTTTGGGTCAAGATAGCAGAACGGAATCTGTTCGATAGAATGTCTGAACCAAATCATGTTAATGAGTGGATTTCTAGTTTTGGTCTGGATTCCGGTGAAGAATTAATTGAAGAGTTCGAGTCCATGCCGGATTGGCTTAAGGACACGAGTGCAGCTAATGATCCACTTATCTATTGTCTTCCTTATCTGCAGCTGATTTTGGTCCGAGGTTTTATGATGATGATAGTTTGGAAAATGATCAGAGTTTGTTCGATCAAGTTGAAGAAAATGGAGACGACAGTATGAAGGAAGTTGGGGTCGAGATGGCGGTCAATCGGGTTTCGATTGTGACTTTAGAACCTAAAATTGAATCAATGGCTATTAGTTTGAGAGACAGGGTTCTAAACTATGAGTCTAGTTTCAAAACTGTAGCTTTAGCGAACGAAATTCGCCAACTTTGTTCCGATAAAAGATCGGATCCTTTTCAAGTTTTGAGTTTGGTCGAGCCTTGGGGAACCGAGGACGAGACTGCTTCGGTGCTGATTTCTCATCTTTCGAGTGGGGATGAAGACGAGCTCGCTTGGCCAAGTCAGGTTCTCTGCTCAATTGTGCTTCCCAGGTTTTTGGTTCTAGCAGAACCAGTTTCCCGTCTGCTACTGACTTCGACGATCGAGTACTGCAAGTTTCATCAGAGGGCCGCGGTACACGGATTATTGTTTCCACTCGCACTGCGAAAAGAGGGTATCAACACCCCGATCTGTGATGTGATCACCAGGATCTTGAAGGAATGCCTCCACCCGGCTCATGTATCCGCCTTCTGTCGGATGCTTCTATGCGGAGGAGAGGAGGAGAGGAGTTTCGTCTTGCTTCCATGCCACGAATTTCTCTTCTCGAACGAATTTGTGTGGACGGACTCGCTGTTTAACCTATTACACAACATCTTGAACCATAATGTTCACTTAACTCAGGATTCTGTTGATCGTCTTGTGTACCATGTTAGGCAAATGGCTGAAACATTTTCCAAATCTTTAAAATTTGGAAACTTTTTGTTATGTCTGGTCACGAAATGTTCTTCCATGCTTAAGTCGCATAAGGATTTATTGACCGAAGCAGTGGAGTCCACCGACACTCTTGTTACAAGATCCATATTATCAAAAGTGCTGATAATGTTGCTATATATGATGACTATAGAAGCTATATAATGAGAACATAACGATATAGATAAAAGGTCAATGATATCCATAGGATTGAATCCATGATGCATGGACCTACACAAATAGATGGGACAGTATGTGGGTATACATACAGATAAATAAAAAGTTTGGTTGGCAGCCAAAACTAAACCTTCCAAACAACATGGCACCCCATTGATGTTTACAGCCAGCTAATAATCAAAATTTTAAAACATGCCCCAAAACACATGCCCTGGGTTGTTGAAAGGTCACTATGCGTTTAATGTACCGATATCGGTTGAGTCGAGTGATAAAGAGTTCGATTCTTCTTCGTACGAAATTTTCGGATGAGTAAATGAGTGGGAGATAAGGAAGCTACGTATATGTCTGTAGAATGAATCTCAGTTGGCTTGGTTTTCCTCTGTACTATACTACATATAATTGCACTATGCTAAAATGAACGTAAGTAGAGAAATTATATAGCAAGATTCATAGGTAGAGAGGTCCCCCACCCCAACCCTCCAATGTAATCCTTTCAATGGTTTCCCATTCAGCAGCAAAATGGCAAATTCCAATGCCAATAATGCTCCAAAGTGGTGATTAGTACTGTATATTTATTACTATTCCAAGCTTTTAAGCTTGTGGACAAGCTTTATCTCCCTATCTTTGAAGTCTTTAAGAAGTCCAGTCAAAAATTGGGGAAGGACCCCCTCAAGTCCCTCTACTATGAACATGTGATCAAATAGGTCCTCTATTATGAAAATTGTTATTAGGGATGGTCATGAGTCGGATCGAGTTTTTGGCTTACTCAAACTCGACTAAAAAATTAAACCCCTCCATCCACACATGACCCGACCCGAGTTTAGAAGCCTGACCTGATTTTTAAAGTGAAAAATCAAATCCGACTGACTCAATCTGATCCAAATTATACTCTTTTCATACCACTAAATGTGTCTCTTTTGATTTTTAAAATTGTCTCGTTCAAAATGTCCTATTAGAAAAGTCAACAAACAACATTTTGTATTTCATTTTTTTACCCTTATAGGTCTTACTCTTTTGCACCTATCAAAACAAATTTGTCGATCACCTTTTAAGGATAATTTTGTCATTTCCTTTGGTCAAATATGTCCCATAAAACTATGTGCATAGCCAATATAAGACCCAAATTATGGGGCATATGGAGTATAATTTTTTATTAGGTAAAACAAGAACCTAATTGAGAAAAATATTAAGAGGGATATTATTGTAATTATCCCTAAATATATAAGAGATAATTAAAATACAATCTCGAGTCAAGTTGTTTTTTTACTCTAAACCCAACCCAACCTCATTCTTAAAAAAATCAACCCAATCTAACCTGAACACGTACGAATTACGAAATTAAAAAACTGACTCGATCGGATCGTATCATGACTCGTCAAATTTGGGTCATATCCATCTCTAATCATTATCGGTATTATAACGGAGGACGTGGACTTAAGGATGCTTAGTAAATATATACAATGACATTATCAAGATCTTTTATGTTGTCAATGCCTTCGGTTTTAATTCTATGAAAGATAGGGTTTTGTCTTGAAGAGGAACCAACAAGTGGCTGAATTGTCAATCCATGTAGGCATGGTCCCAAGTTCCTGGTATGTAGGACAAGATGCACCTTGTCTTTTTCTTGTGTATTTATTCACCTCATGTGCCATGAATATACCTTTCATCAAAACGTGCAGTCTCTTCAAAATTTCCTCGTAAATTTGTAGAGACATGTGGATGAAAGAATATAAAAAATCCACAAATTTACACAATTTCTTGTAGATCATGTAATGGAAATGAAGATTCTACTAAGTATGATTAACAAAGGAAGGATTAATTCATTAAATACTACTAATTACTAACTAGTAATTACTATAGTATTGTGTCCATCTTTATCTGCTTGAAGTACTGAAAAGTTATTGTCAAGTAACACTGATAAGGAGGGTCGATTGGGATGACTTGTTTTCTTCTAAAGCCGGCCTCGGTGAGGCAAGTGTGAGCTCGAGTTCAGGTGAATCGTCAACCGGCATGGGATGACGATGGTGATGTCGATGACGATCAGAATCGAATCGAGGAGTTGCGAGACTAGGAGGAGGTCCGGCCATGCTACTGCTTCTAACCTGTCATAGCATCAGAGCATAAAATGAAAAGGAAAATCATAACAGATGGCCGGCCTATTGATACGTGTTGGGGGCTATCGTACCATGTCGAACAGGCTCGAACGTCGGTTCTTCTTGTCCAGCTTTGCCTGTCGGAGAAAATACTTCTGAGCATGGCTTGCAACTTGGGTTGGAGTTCTCGTGGTAACATAGTCTCTAGAGATGCCTCTCCAGTCTCCTTTCCCAAGCTTCTCAAGCCCTACCAGAAAGAGTCTGTGTTCCTCTTCTGTCCATGGAGCTCCTGGTTTTACATATACAATCCATACAAGTAAATACATACATACATAAAAGAAGAAATTCTTCATCGTATACAGCAAATTGAACATCTACAAGTACCCTTTTTTCTCTCGGGAAATCGACCACCATCAGACAGATAACCAATGGAGATTTTATCAGAATTCTCATCGACGGAAACTCGAGAGGAAGACAAAGAAGAAGGAGAAGGAGAGGCTGAGGAAGAAGACAAGCAATCCATGCTGAAACTCTTCTTCATATGATTGACAGCAACAGACGAAGGTATGTCTAGCTGCAGCTGAACACCGAAGAGCCGAAGTCCGCCACGGCCACCAGAGGTGTTAGTAGTGCCCCTGAGAGTGGTGCAGGTCCTAGAATTGTGGCCTATGTTCCCACAATGTGAGCACCTCCTGCCCATTTCCTTCCTGACAAAGCTTTTCACCCAACAACCACCACCAACAGATAACAAACAGAGAGAAATGGAAGCAGAATGAATATGTTTGGTGAAATATAAAAAGGTGGGGTTCATGAAAATGGAGGCATACCTAGTGGAGATGATTGGATGGACTTAATTTATTGTTATTTTCGTTTGATATTTGTTTTCCTCCAAGTTGAAGAATTTATTATTGGATTGACATAGTAGACAACTCCATTTACATGGTTCCAAATTCACTGATTTGGCATTATTATCAAAGCAGAATCTCTCCCTCCTCCTATAAGATATGATAATGTTATTAATTTCTAATCTTGTTTCAGTAGGCATTAAATAACCTTTGCATAGCAAGTCCATTATGTCATTATGATAACTATGTGAGATGTGTGAAAGATCAATCATTCATTGCATTTGGTTTAATTATTCACACAATTTTACAGTTACATATGACTATGACCATGCAATAAAATCTATACCATACTAAAATCGAAGGGTGACATTATTTGCCTCAGGCCTTCTTTAATATTCAAGAGTGAGCTGTCCATCTACTCTTTATACAGTGTAGCAGCTACAGATATTTTCTGCCAAGACCATGGTGCTGGTATTCAATCTAACTGCTTCGGCAGCGCTTTAACGATCCCCGGAAGTTCATGCATAGAAAGTCTAATTTGTGACGACGTCCCCCTCCAACATCCGAAGTACCTTCATGGTGTAAACACGGCTCGGTTAACTGTATACTGTGAGAGGTTAACATATGATGTTTACAAGAATCATAGAGGCGACAGGGTATAGGCTTCTAATTGTCGAACACTGCAAAATGGACCGACCGCATGACGGAGACACGGAGCAGATAAGCTGCGGACGTAACTATAAGTTTGACATACACATGCATTCCTAGTTCTCTTCAATGATCACTGAAACAATAATGACCGAATGAATGTGTCTTGGAAAGGATTTTATTATGTAATTTCTAATTTTCCAACCTGAGACATACGATGCCTTGTTTGAGGGTCTCGCCTGATGCACAGGGAAGCACATTGCAGCATGCGGTAAACCTCTTGCTCCTTGTAGCTGCTCCCCAAGCGAGGGTCGACGAGTTCTCGTATCGCATGACTTTCAAGTAAAGGACGTGCCCATTCTGTGAGGCACTGCTGTCCCTTTGGCCGACTGATGTCCATAGCTTTTCGTCCTGTGATCAGCTCCACCATTTCCACCCCAAAGGAGTAGACATCAGCCTTTTCTGTTATTTGGCCACTTCGGGCATATTCTGGAGCTAAATACCTATCAAGAAGAGTGTTTTCTTGAATAAAGTTGTTCTGGATAATATAAGTAACAAGGAATAGACAAGTTATGTACCCGAATCGACCAATCACTCTAGTTTCGACTCCTCTGTCTCCATCTGGCATGCCACCTTGCCAACCCAAAATCCCCAACCTGAATGGTCCAGAAGCAATAGTCAGTTTACAGTCTGTGTCATATGCCTTTCTTATAGCCACTGGTATATGTGCCCAAAGTTTGATACAAAAGAAGAGTGGTCCGACTCGAACGAGCCGAGCATGAAGAGGAACAAACAGCTGATCAAGAGAACAGTGAAAATTTGTTGACATAGATCTTAGAGATGTGACATACTAAAGGTTCGAAATCATCGGTGAAAATTTGTTGACATAGATCTTAGAGATGTGACAAGGATATTGTTGGGCCGCATATCCCGGTGTACGATACAACCAACTGCATTCTTCATGAAGGTATCTCAATCCTCTGGCTGCTCCAACTGCAATCCTTTGTCGTGCAGACCATCATAACGTATCGTGATTTTTCCCTGAAAATTTCCCATCTAATGATTAAGTTACCTATTCAAAGATATCATCAATGTCATGTCTTAAGTACATTCCAGTAAACTCGTGTTACTCAGATCGAACTAAAGTTTCTAAGAGGTGAACTTACCATAAAGATGAGAATCCAGAGACCCATTGCAGGTACTCATAAACTAACAATCTTTTCCATCCTCAATGCAGTATCCGATCAGCATTACAACATTCCGATGCTGTGCACAACTTAACACCTCAACTTCTGAGCAAAATTCTCGGTCACCTTGAGAACTAGCCAACTTATGTTGCAGCACCTGACCATCAGGTAAGATCCTCTATGAACAGAACCGAATCCGCCTTCAGCCAAGAAATTCGATTGCGAAAAGCCATTTGTAGTACGTTCCAGTTCAGCATAAGTGAATCACCTTGGAGGGTGCCCAAACACAGGTACCTTGTGCTGACATATTGAACATAATGGAGGAGGTCCAGGAGGAGCATTTCTTGATAGTGAGATGGCTTCCCTCACACTTTTGCTGACCTTCAGATCAATTCTATAATTAAGGGCCCCGACATCGGGTTCTTGATTCAGTATAGATAATTTCTCCAACAAAATGTTATATGTTGAAGTTATAGATGAATCATTCAGTCTCCGTAAATCCTTGCCGAAATGCTTAGAGTCAGGGCTAGAACTATGGTTGTTGGACATGTGGAGTGAAATATGATCCGGTTTTAAGAGCATCTAGCTCACTTTCGGAGTCCGAATCAGATTCAAACAGACTTTGTCTTTCTTTGGTAATAAATGAACAATTTTTCTTCAAACTTTCATATACCCCAGGGAGCAACAACGGTGAGGCCCCTGGATCTGAGCCTGATACTGATGAAGTTCCGATATCGGTAGCTGTCATTAATGATTCACGCTCAGGACTACTTACCGGAGTCACAAATGGCCCTTTAGTTTCATCAAACAGGTCATGCTTGTTCTTCCTACGTTTAGAATATGTTTCTGATTCAAACGATAATGGCCAAGCCACTTTAGGTGCCATGTTCGGTGATCCAACCAAATTCAACCGATGAACCTTCGGCTGAGATTGCTTCATCACCACAAGATTGCATTGCAGCTCTTCCAGACAATGTTTCTTCTCATGTTTTAAGTGCCTGAAAGGATTCAAAAGCAATAAGCACAACAATTAATCGAACAAAATTGTAGAGCCGAAGGAAGTTAGAACATCAGAATGTTGCTAAGACCTTGTGTAATTTGCATAGTCACAGAGCGGAAAAAAGAGCATGCCTTGAGCTAAATAACACAATGTGATATATCATGCAAGAGAACAAAGTTTACATTGTATATATTACTTGTCCAATATCACCCAGTTGGATTGAGCTTTCTTGGCCTCGGTAGCGACTATTCCGTACGGTGATTCAGGAACGATTTTTATCCTGACTTTTACCTGCAAAGATAACAAGTGAACTCCATGAGCAAAGAACTTAACAGCTAAAGGAGCATTTGAACATAAAGTAACACAAAGCTTCTCAGGATCATAAACATCTTTTAACTGGAAAATCATTTGGGAGCATGAATCTGCAAGATCATGTTTGCATATGAATTATTAGTTCCTGAGAGAGACTTCCAATGACCAGTGGCACAATCTGGTAAATCTTGAAATTCCCCATATCCTTTTACCTGAGATTCCATGAAGCTATCATCATCAGCAAAGAATGCTTAAACCATGTTCTTAGCTGTAACGACAATGTATAACCGAATCCGGAAATCGCGAATTACTGATTATGACTTATGTGCCAACAAACACCCCAAGTTCAACAAAGGAATAAAGGAACATTATGCAATTTCACAAGCTCACTACAATCTACTCAAAATAAGTGAAGTTAAAAGGCATTATCAAATTCAGAAACACAGAATTCAACAGTTTACTGGTGTGTTAAAAGCCAACATATTTTGCTGCAACGAGTGCATCTTGCCACTTTATGGAAATAAACATATAATTTCTATCCCCCAAATCTTCCCAATGATTCCCATCATCACACAAAGAGTAAAAAGACAACAAATAAAAGAGTGAAAGAAGATTAAGAGGGAAATTTAAGTTACCTGAGGAGTGGACTGGAGTAACCACAAGCAGCTTAATGCAATTCCCAGGCTGAACAACATGAGTCAAAGCCCAGACCAGTGCAGTCCTTGGGATCTCTCTTGCTGCTTTAACAGCCAACCACCACTTTACTTACCAAATCTGAGCTACCCTTCTGTTTCATCTTCAAAATCCAGCTAGAAACTAAACCTCCTAATAAAACCCAAACCCCATTTCTCCATCAAAACAAATCTCTTGATCAAGAAAAGATTGTATTTTTTTCTGATTTAGAATACCCAAGATGCTTTTTTAGCTCCTCTTCCCAGCAGAAAAGTTTGATTTCAAAGAAAATAAAAGAGTAGCAGACAGGGAAGTGCACTTCAAGGTAACTTTATCAAATCAAGTAAGCTTCTTTCTCCTAATAAGGACATGTAAAACAGTAGTTACAAAGCTACAAGCCCCCTGTTTCTCTCCCTCTCCCTCTCTTAAAAGACAGCTTTGCCTGCAATAAAGGAACATGTAATATCAGTTACTGTTTTCACAGAAACTGAGGCTGCCTTTTCTTTTATTAGTTCATGTAAACGGCGTGAGCTGCAACAAAATCACAACAAAGCTTAACTGGCAATTGAAAAATACTATTACGTGATTACAAACGACAAAAGAAACACTTTGGGTTAGTCAGAAACGACAACTGCTTAGTACCAAACCACATGTAATTATGAAAGTAATCATCGCCATGATTAGAGGAAATCTTTGAACGTTTAATGAGCAATGAAATGTAACTTCACTTCATTATCCACTGTGGGTCTTAAAGATGAGAAATTTGATATTGTTTATATGAAAGTTTGAGTTTTGATCTGAATTCTTCTGAAAAGCAACAAAGATATACTTTAAGATCTTGGGATTCCCCTATTGCTTTATCACCATTTGGGATTAACAAATCCTGCCATTGTTTAATCTACAGTTCTTTTTAAAAGGCAATATCTCTTGGAACTTGAGACAGTGAACTATTTTTCTTGCCTGGGGCTTAGATCCAGAGTAATGGGGTTTTAAATTTGTGCAGGAACATGAATGAAAATTTTTCTTTTGTGTTGCTCTGATATGCCATAGCAAGATACATTGGCAGTGTGACAATAAGGATGGATGGAGTTGTCGTTTCCTTAAAAAAAATATTTTTTATAAAATTAAAGTATTTTATAATTGTCTTATAATATAAAATTTTGGATCCGTGAATAGGAGATGATATATGAGCCCTACGACACTGACAAATGAAGACAAAGAGCTTAGTGGTAGGGCATGGCAGCATCAATTCTGAGAGCTTGATGCCTCGTCAACTTCTGGCCAACAAAACTACAGCTGATTGTTGGATCCCTCTCCTTGAGCAGATTTGAATTTTGTAAAACTGAAAAACAGTTGCTGTACTTGATCCAACTAGTTCCTGCAATCACTTCTAAAGGTAAACATTCGATCGATGTACAATATCAACATTCATAACTTGGTCAGTTTATGTTAGTATAAGTAATATTAGGAGTTTAAATTTTAAAACTACGAGCGAAATAAATTGAATTGATAGAACTATCTTATAAGAAGTATTTATAATGTTTAATATCGATTAATAGATGGATTAAACTAAAATAACTATGGCGGATTAATCTGGCACCCAAAGATGTCCCAATTATAGCCCTTCTTTATGAGGTGGGACCTAAAGTTAGATGGCTAGACTACCTTTACTAAAGCTATAATCAAAGAAGCTTTATGATACTCCCTTGTGTTATTCTATCCTAAGCTGTGCTCCAAACGTATTCCTCAATAAACAGGAAAATGAATTTAAAAATTAAAAATACAAAGACAAAGACACATGATTTTAGTGAATTATGTTAGAATGATTATTTTGGTTATTTAACTTTTAGTATTATAAAATGATTATTAAATATTTTTTAAAACGATAAAATAATATCATTAAATTTATTAAAATGTTACACATCTTTATGTTTATTAACTCCCAATGCTAATCACATATCCGACTTCGGGTCATTCGACTCTGCCAAGTGGCTGCAGAGGAGCAAGGGTTTCTTCCCCGATACGGCAGCCTGGAAATAAAATTTGTAAAATAAATAATAATGTTTTAAAATTAAATATAATTGTTTTTTATTTAATAACTAATGTTAATAATAATATTTTTGTATTTAATTTTTAATATTTATATTTTTAAATTAAAATATTTATTCATAAATTAATAAAAAAAATTATATGAATTAACCAAATCATATAAATAATTTAAAATAAGTTGATATGAACCAATATTACATTCCAGATGCAAGAACTATATGATTGTCTCGTTCTCGAGCAGTTAAGGAAAGCTGAATACAAATGCATTAAGAATAGCACCAGCAGCCTATGCAATACAGTGCTCGTGAGATACTTACTGACATACATCGCATCTTGTAGAACTGAACTCTCGAAACCACAAACGTCGACCGTTCAATGAATAATTCACCATTATATCGATGTCTCGGTTCTTCTTGTGGTGCCACAGTCATGCTCCCAGCTATCGCCTCCCCTTCGCAAATGGTTAGCACATCCTCTAGGTAAAGGACTGTTTGCTCCAGTGTGTAGCTCGCGATTTCAGCCCTGTATTTTGTTTTTTATTCGAAGTACATGGAAAACATGGGCATGAGATTTGAGCAGAGGCGATGTGTATTGTCCGGGGTAAAAGTGATGCATATGAAATGGAAATGCAGAAGAAAAAGAGATATAAACCTGTGGAGAAGCCCATCAGTTTGTGGCACTTGGTAAATGATACATCGAAATACGCAACAAAAGCATGGATGTAATCATCACGTTGTGCAACGAGCTTAAAAGAGCAGTGAAAGAAGCATCACCAGGAGCCATCTTGGATATCCATTGAACATAGCAGACGAGTTCCAAGACAATAAGCCAGAGAATTCAGGCGGGCATACACAATGATATAGATATACATACTAAATAGGTTACATTCTGCTATTTATTCTCACCTTGAGAAGGGGCTATTCGTCACAATTTGATTCTGGTCAACTGTGTCACAAGATCATAGCTTGCTTTTGATGCAACTCATGTCAAACCCGTAAACATTATTCCAAACTGTAACGAGGTGATGTCATGGAGAGAAGATGTAACATAAGAATATGATAACTAATTGCAAGGTACCGCAATAGAAATGATTGAAAGCCCATAACTACTTACGAACTCGAATACAAGAATGATACCAAAGGATCAGTCTACAATCACATTCGATTTTGTCATCTTTAATCTGCATCCTCAATTGCTGTCAAGTAAAGAGAAGCCTTATCAGGTAGAACAACCCCATCATGACCTGGCACAGGAAACAGAAAAAGAAAACGGAAAAAAAAAACAAATGCAACATATAGGAACCACAAAATCTTGCTTTAAAGAGCAAATCAATTAACTTAAGCTCCACTTGGCCACCAAAAAAACCACAAGCAAAATATGCTCAAGAGACAATGAAAAACTATCTAGTAAACAACCTAACCCAACCGAAGCAAACCTAACACATACAGCTCCATAAATGCGCCAATAGCATACATTAGTCTTTTTCGGCCTGTATGCATCATGCATTCCAAGTTGCATATTACAAAACATGCACGTAAAATGAATCATCAAGGAACTTTTGAGCACGTAAAATGAACACAAAAGTACATCTCTATATCACCACCATGAAAACATATCAAGCAGGAGACTTTAGAAGTACCAATAGAAGCAGCAACTTACGAGCCATTTATCACGAGCATATAAAACTGTATTCAACATGTTCTCAACAACAGAAAGAACCCATCCACTTGATATAATTATGTCCACTTTGGCAAGAAGCTCAATCTCTTCAATCTTTCCCTTCAAAACTGTAACAACTGTAACATAAAATAATTCTCACATAAACAATGGGATTAAATAGAGAAATCAGTACGATAGACACAACAGATTTCAGTAAACCACCATGAGACAAGCCACTTGTTTCAACAATTGTTTAGCCATGTCAGCCATCTGAGAGCACTCAACCTAGGAATGGGAAATATTAACCACAGTAAGCAACTTGAGATGGACACTAAGAATGAATAAAGTCGGTTAGAGATATTAACAAGAAAACAAAAACCATATACATATAAAACACAGAAACACATACCGCATAAACATGTGCAGCCCCTGCCTTCGCACAAACAAGGACAAAATTCCAGTTCCAGCTCCCACATCAAGAACTACTTTGTTCTGGAATAGAAACTTATTCTGATAATAACGTTTTGATATGTCTTAGTTCGCACTCCATCCTTCAGCATTTCCTGAAATACAGGGACAAAATGATCATTGTTTCAGAAAGAAAGCATGACATATTAATTCGTGGTCAGTTCAAATAAACTGAACAATTACAGCTGAATCTTCATTACTGACGTTCAGCATCCAATATCAAGGCAATGTACCAAAGAAAAGTACTCTATAAATAACTAAAAAACCACGCAAGACAATGCTGGCACTGAATAGTCCAAGTCCACACTTACTTCATGAATTCCTGCTATGAAAAAATGACGAAACAAATCAAATAAGCTTCAAGAACGTATCTGAACATAAATAGTATGAACCGCCAATATAAACGCTAAATCGCTAATTTTATTAACCTATAGATTTAATAAGAATAGAGCTTCATTAGCTTAGATAACCAAACTCACGTGAAGCTTCCTCACAGGCAAGTTAAAGCCAACTAAAATCCTCACTTTGCCGTAGTGTTCTAATCGACAGACAAACATCCAAGCTTTAATGAATCTTAAAGACTTAAACAAAAGGAATACATACCGAATGAGAGTACGAGTCGAAGTAATAATCGGCACTTTTTATCATCACTATCTACAAAGGACTTCGGGCTCTCCCATGGAGACATCTTCAGTAGCTTTAATCACGGCGAGAACTGATTCGTCGAGATTGGAGCTGTCAGTAGCGACTGCATCGTCGTCGGCGTCTTGGAAGCGAATCTTGGTTCCTTCGAATTGGTTCGAAGAGTTTGTGGAGGTTTGAGCCGTGTTGCTTCCTTTGCTGCGATCCATTCTTCTTAGTGACGGTGATTTAGGGTTTAGTGGTGAGAGTGGGCGAAGCCGCGTAGGTAAGGGTTTTTGTGAGGGCTTTTCTGCTTTGTATTGGCTAGAAGGTGAGTCCCTTAAGGCTATCGCAATTTGCTTTGCGTTTAAAATATTATTAGGTTGGGCGTCTTGTCGGTAGATTTTTATAGGGACGAAAGTTGTTAATTTTCCAAAAAGAAAAGGGCGTTAATTTCCAAATTTTCAAACTATTATGTAAATCTTAAATTAGTCTTCAAGTTTTAAATTGTTCCTTTCAAGTTTTCATAATATATTATTGTATTAATTATGTTATGCCATTTGCTTATTCACTATTTTTGAGAATTAATGCAACTCAAATCTTACAGTTCATCATTAAGTTTTTTAAATTTGTTTGCATCAATTTTTTAAAATATAGCATTATGAACCACATTCTTCCATTTATTTTCAATTAATTTAAAACCATGATGTTTTAACACAAAACAAATTAGATCTGATATGCTAAAAAAACATCAATATCATTAAAATTCAAGGATGTTATCAATCAAATTATGTTAAATATTAGTTGAATTTACGTTTATTCATATTATAAGTACAATTTTCTTTTTAATATACATATTTTAAATATAGTTTAAGACATTTAACACCCAAAGAATAGTGAATGGAAAAACTTGATTAACACATTACTAGTATTTTGAGGATTCAATTCGAATGGTTAAAATTTAGACCATTTAGAATGTAATCCATAATCGGGGACATCTGACGGAATTAATCGGAAGAAAAATATACAACTAAAGTAAAGTACGCGTGCAACATCTCAAACGACGTCGTTTAACTTTATTTTTTCAGATAATTACCATCAAGCGATCCATATTTCAGGCATATGAAACTAGAGCATCCCAAATGTTTATGTGCTTCTGTAATATAAAGATACAAATCTAAAAAAAATATATTATATCCATAACCAAAACATGTCAACGTTTATTAAGCAGCACCCTGGAACGGCTGATAGAGGGAGATCTTCCCGGACCCCGCATTCTCATGTATTAGCCAGAGGCCTTGTTGAGTGGCCATGGTCCCCCTGCCATGACAGCTTCGATCTCCCATGTTTCTCGAGGAACTTTCGTCATGTTATTGCTACCGTTGGCCGTTACAAGCTGCAGTCGAATAAAGGACAGGGTGATTTAACTGAAAACAGACGAACAAATAAAAATGCAGAGCCGATCCTAACCACATAACACAAGAAGTCCTTCGACTATATTCATCACACACAAGATGACCTTAAAGCATTCATGGCTTTTATAAGGATTGCATGTATTGAGTAAATGTTAGCACTTCGCACCCTACAGATCTTGCAATACATTATCCGTACTCCTACAGACTGAACCCAACAAGCAGATTCATAAGCTTAATTGTTAGAACTTAGAACACACTAAAAGATTCTCAGCTGAACTCTCACTCAGTTTCTTTTATGGCCAAACCTAGGTTTTGGTGCCATGACCCCCGATTTTCTTATGTTTATTAACAGCGTAGATTTAAATCTGTGGTAGAGGTGATTCGTTTCTAACTAAAATTGAAACTAGACAGACAACTTATACATGCAATTTAATCAGCATGAAGCTGAGGATTTGAATGACTAAAGACGAGTAAAATAGAATACCACGTCGCTTTCTATTCGAACTCCGCCAAAATTTTTAAATCTGTCCACCATTTTACGGTCGAGAACTTTGAAGTGCTTGCATTTTCCATAGCTGGAACCAACAATGCATCAATGAAATAGCATCCAGGCTCCACAGTTTATCACCTACAATATGAGATGAAAGCTTCAGCGCATGTTTGACGCACTAATGGAATTCCATGTGCAGAATTTCTTACGAGAAAGAACAAGATCACTTCTAAGAAGAACTCATACTAATAGAAAATGCAAACTATTTTAAAAAAAAAAATTTAAGTGCACATACTACCATGATGTCACATGTTTAAAACCGATGAAAATAATCAATATGTCGTAAGTTCTGCTGTACTGAAGCACATTAAGTTGTACAGTTGAGTAGTTGACTAAGTATAATTATGAGCAGATAAGCTCTAATTAATTGAAACGGTTGGTATTGGGATTGAGGACCTTTGAATTGTAGTCCTTGAAGGAGGCAGCCATTGATTCCACCATATGGTTATGTTGTAATTTAAATAAAAGATACCATACAAACATAGTTTTCAAATTTAAACTTGCAATGCTTTTGTAAATGAAACAGTACGAATTTAGAACATACTTGTGCAACATTTTGATATCATTCACTACACATTAATAATAAGAAATGTTCAACCAGTACAAATATGCATATATCATATCTGCGCTGATCATAACCATAAATGTGGAATATCAATTTGACAAGAAAAAGGCAAAAAATGCACTTACCATCCCTCCTGGAGTTGTCTAGCAGTACGCAAAGACTTCAAACCAGTTCTTTTGGTCTTTCTACACCCTGCAAGATTTTAATCGATACAAACCCATAGGAAATGAAATTTTGAAAATTGTAGCTAATTACAAAAATGAGATGAAAGTAAGACTAGCACAGATAGAAGTCATAAGAAGACTAGCACAGATAGAGTCATAAGACTAGCACCGATAGAAGTCATAAGCAGATAAGTTAATCACAAGGACCTTTGGATAACCACCAGGATCATGAGTATCAATACCCAATAAATGGCCCCCATGAGGCATAAATATAGCACCCACTCGTTCAACCTCATATCATCAATGTTTCTACAATAGAAAAAAATGAAACATACTTATAAGTTTTACTTTTAATAGTAGAAACAAGAGGTGAATCAAAGAAAAAATTACATCATTAAGAAAATAGAATTTACCCGACAAGGATGTTGCCCTTTTCAGCCACTCCAGAATGATTTTCTCAGCTAACCTTCAACAGATAAAAAGAAACAAGAAAATGCATATTAAGGATAAAAAAAGGAAAAAGGAAAATTATATCACATTTATTGCTGTTCTTTTCCCTTACTTGCATATCCCCCCAGTTTATACCAGGCTTCATCGCAGTTATAACAGCATTGTGAGCATTTAGACAGCCTTCAGAACATAGAATGTAGAAAAGGGAGATCAACCATGACAACTTAAATTGAAAGGGTAGTTTTTTCCTTTTTTTTATTCAATAGTCAACTTAATATGGATTCCCATAGGAGGAAACCTGATATATTTCCTATCACTCATTGATCAAAGAATACAAACTTACATTATATATAAGGCTCTGGTCGCTTGTAAATTTCCCATTCACCTGCATACATGGTATGATTACTTTAGGAGAAGCTTCTATATCACTGAATACTAGAAACAATAAGCATCTTACTCAGAATCCTTGTAGTTGTAGCATGGTAGACATTTTATTTCTTAAGATATATTTGTATTCTCTGGATAATGTAGAAAAACTAAATATCCCAATAGTCTACTGCTACAAAAGGTCTCACCCCAAAGGTCACAAAATACTACTCAAAACTCCATGCAAGTAATACAAGAATTGGACATGAAAAACCCAAGAACTTCTGCTTCAAGTCTTAGGACAAATACAAATGGTAGATGCTATCCCAATTCCCTTACCCTTTTTTGATTAATCATCCAAACGGTCAACAGCTTTACAAAATTAAACCAGAAAACTGAGAGACTAGGAAAGGAGTCAAAATGTCAGAATATAGAGTTTCTTTTGTGAAGCTGAATTAAATGCTTCGATTGAAAGATGAGTGGCCCACTTCTAGGCTTCTAGCATCCAACACATAAGCAAAGACATCAATTGCACAAGAAGTAGACATACTCACAGGGAATGAGCACGTAATGTCATCCATAGAAACTGTACTCAGCTCCCATGTCAAGCAAGGCCATATCTCCATCTTCTAAGATCTGCAAAAAACATATATGATCAGGTTAACTTAAATACATCAATTTGAAACTCTTGGTGTTATTCACATCATTAGCCAAACCTAATGAGATTGTGTTTCATGAGAAGATGACACTAACATATATTTCAGCATTATGAGGACATGATGAAAAGCATACCCTGTCATTAGGAGCTGCAGCATGTCCATAATGTAAAACAGAACTGCACCATAGAAACATGAGGATCATTTTTGTGCAAATACTGATATTCATACGAAAATATTTATCATAAACAAGTAAAACATACAAAAGAATATCAGAATTCACAAATATCTATCCCAGGTTTTATTTTATTGGTGTTTTGTTTTAAAAGGTAAATGCTGAGAAATGGGTGTGAAAACATTATTAATGTGCAGTTAGTACTGCATTGCATGTTAAACAAGAAACAATCAGGAACCTGAGGTATCCTCACCTGTTTTCACCAGTAGCACAAATACATGTATATGAACAGTGCCTACAGCCACCGTACATGTAGGTATGATGAAGAAACATGCTTTCCAACTGATACTCTTTTCATGCCTGCTTTGGTTTTTCTCATAACTAGTTAAGTAGAAAAAGCTACGTTAAATTATCATTCTCAACATTACACAAAAAAAAAAAAGTGAATCTGCCAAGAAAACTAACAATTTAGGTGAAGTAGAAGAAGAAAGCAAAGAAAGAACCAAGTACCTGGACGCAAGGTAAATTGTAGATCATGCAGAATGACAGATTATAACTGATAATCATTTGTAACAAAAATAATAATAACTGATATCTCTGAGAAAACTACAAACAGTGTTGTTCAAGCTATGAAATAAATGATTACCTCAACATGAGCTTCAGAACTTATTCGTTAGCAAATTGGATAAGAGCAAGCTCCAAGTCTGACTTGCAAACTCGGCACTCGGGGTCAATATATGCAGAGTTGTCAAATCTGTCTCAAAATTTTCTATTCCCTAAATCAAGATAAGAGGGAAAAACTAGATAAGCCTCTAAACAATATGGTACTTTTACATAACACCATAAGCTTTTGCCAAAGGCGTGCAGAATTCAGTAACTCTGACATAGAAAATACACTAGAACTTGTGAAACAATATAACGTGGTTCTAAAAGCAGAAGGAAAAAGGCAAATGAAAGTAGAATAGATGACATGATGTAAAACCTCAAACTCTGCAGGTTTTGAGAAATTATTGCTATCGGTGTTAACCCCATGTAAGAAACATAAAGGTTTTCCAGATCCCTTGTATTGGTCAACCAAGACCTGAGCAATCTCATCAGTGTAGTTTACCATGCTAACATATACCTTTCCTGCCAACAGAAATGCAAACATAAAATACACTAAACAAAGCACTGACATAGCAAACCGGAAAACCCCATTACAATAGTCACCTGAAAGTAGGAAGCTGGCTTTATTTCTCCCATCCAAACATAATCAGCAGGTAATCTAGGCGCAAATAGAATGGATTTCCCAGTTGCAATGTCCTTTAATCATTAAAAAAGAGATTTATTAACTTCAACAGTTTATAAATTAAGCTCCACGATTAAGAAGGAACTAGTAGTTAAAAAACTTGTAATATTTTTTAAAAAGGTAATACGAAGAACTTACAATAGCACCGTAGAAACCAGGCTCTCTCACACCAAACAGATAAGCGAAGAAACTCTCTTGCCTAAAACCAATTAATTATCAATAATTTTATTTCTTCGAACGAATTATAATTTAATTAAAGTTCTAAAGAGAAAGAAAAGGTCGGTGTACTGAATAGCTCAAGGTGATCAGTGCAATAGCGCGTTTGCTCCTCACCCTGTTCGATCGATTGATCCGATAATTTTAACTTCAAAAGACGCTTGTGAGTGGAAGTTATTGAAAAATTACTTAAATAAGAGTACCTGGAGGAGAACGAAGCCGTGATGGGGCGAGATGCGTCGGAGAGGTGTTGGCGAATAGAGTTGAGCAGCTTTTGACGGTTGGATATGTGGAGTTCCATAGGTACCGGCGGAGAGAGAGAGACGTCGGTGATGTTGAAGCCATGGAAATGGCTTCTCTCGTCAGTTTCGCCATTTACAAGCAACTTATCTAGAGCAGCTGTACCTTGAATCATTTGGCATTTCCTTTTTTTAGTACATAAACTATTAGTTTTGGTGTTTTAGTACTTAAACTTTTAATTTTTCAAAATCATACCTAACGTTTTATTTTTGTTTTATTTTAGCATTCCTCCGTGAAAAACTTAATGTGTTAGAACCTAAACTATCAGTTTTTGGTATATTTTAGTGCCTAACATATCAATTTTTTCAAAACTTAACGTTAAATTTTGAACGATGGTACTAAAATGAAACAACTGAACTTTAGTATGATTTTAAAAATTTGAAAGTTTAAGTACCAAAGTGGAAGCTAAAGTTTAAGTACTAAATGTGTAATTTACCCTACAAAGAATGGATATATTATTGGATAAAATACATCATGACAACAAACTCTAGATTGTATATTGATATTGGCAATAAATTTCAAAACATTTCAATTTAACATTAAATTTTAGTTTAGTTTTCAATTACAATATTGAGCCATTAATTCAAAATAATTGATGTGGTAGTTTTGGTACTTATTTGAAAATTAAAAAAAAATATTTTTCTCATCATTTCATTTATCAAAATTAAGATTTTTTATATCTTCATTAAAAATCATCATTTTTTGCTTTTTACCACGTGAAACACCGATAACTCTCTTACCATCTCCTATCACTATAGTTAGATTTCTCAAAACTCTTTTAAATCTCATGAAATCAAATATAAAATCGACAATATTAGTTAGATTTTCTCAAAACTCTTTTAAATCTCATGAAATCAAATAAAAAATCGACAATTTTGAAGTTTTTTATATGTTTAAAAGTACGAACTGTGATAAATATTTTTTTTTTCGAGAAGATAAAATCATCCCTCGAAACTAATCTCTTTGAATGATCATCATAGGAGGACGAACACTAAAATATTATACATTTAGACAGATTTTCAACAATTTAAATGATTTTTGTAGAAAATAATCTAAATAGAAAGAAGATGAGTAAATACGAACGTATTTATACAAGTTTTGTAACAAATGTTAGTCAATAATGAATGGTAATTGATAGAATGTGACAATTAAAATAGTTTACCATTTCATATATGAAAATAGGAAAGAGACGATCATGTTATCAATCATGGCTTAATATTAAAATAAGTGACTAAATTATATTTAAAATTAATTTTAGGTGTTTAAAGAATTTTTAGTAAAAATAAGTGTTGAACGTTTTCAACATTACATCTTTATGTTATGTCGTTAAATTTGGTTAGTAAGTAATACGTGTCACGCTTATAAATTTTATTTTAAATAAAAATTTAATATTATGTTTAAAAATTAAATTTCTTTAAAAATACAAAAAAACTCTAAAAACCCATAAAATCCTTAATTTTAAACTAATTTTTTCAACTGTCACCAGCAACTTCCAGACACCATCTATGTCGCTAAATCACCTTATTATCGACGCTCAATCATTGATCATCATTATCCAAAATTCCTAAATCTTTTAATTTTGAAATCCTAATCCTAAATTTAATGGGTATTTAGAATGAATGAGAATTGATAGGAATGAAAATCTGGGAAGGGGAGAGGAAGAGGAGAGGGAGGAGGAGAAAGGAAACGAGGTTAATTTTTTTATATAAAAATTATTTTTAAATAAGAAATAATAATAACGATACATGTCAAATAACAATTAAAATTTACTGTAAGACACCTAAAAATATAATGAATAAAATATTAACACTCGTTTTTAATGAAATTTTTAAACACTTAAAATTAAATTTGAGCATAATTTAGATATTTATTTTTACATTAAATCTTAAGTCGTTAATGATTTAATAATATAATATTTCTATCGAAGCACAAAGTAAGTTTTTTAGATGTATAAAATGTACGGAAATAGAAGAACGTCTAAAGGTATATTAGCAATAGTAAAGTTTAAAAAGTGAGCAAGGTGATGAAGAATGAGATGACATCTTTATAATTGGATTCAAGATTTGTTTAATTATCGTTCACAGATGCCAACGAGTGTTGACACAAGTGGTTCAGATTCAGAAATTTGAGTTTGAAAGATCAAGTTCGAATCTCACCACCGTCACTCTTGGTGGACAATCTATAAAATCCTATATAAATCCTAATTGGGTCTTAGGTATGCCCTGATCCTGAAATAGGGAAACCACCCCTGACCTAAACTTTTGTGTATCAAAAAAAATTATCGTTCACTGACATTCAATTTTCTATATACATAATTTTATAATTTAGATTTTTGTTTTAAAAATAACTTTTATTTTATTAGATTAATTGATAATTAATTTATGTTACATATTTAAATAATAATATTGTTGAATATATTAAATATTACTAGTTGAAAAAATAATGTATTATATTTAAGGATAATCATGGGTCGAGTTGGATTGAATTAATTTACCCCACTTAAACCCGACCCCAATATACCTCTCTCCTCATCACCTAACTAGATTCGAGTTTAAGGAAGTTGTATCCGAATCAATACTTGATCTGAATCTTAAGGTAAAAATTCACATTCGATTTGACTTTTGAGGTATAAATCCACATCTGATCAAGCTTGATATACATATATATAATTCTCATTTTATTAAGTAGAATAGAAATCTAATTGAAAAATATATAATAGAAAGTATTCTAGCAATTATCCTTAAATATAGAAAGATTAATTATTTATTATTCTCTAATCAGACCAGGTCATATATTTTCACCTTAAAATAAAACACGACTTGATTTGATCTTATATTTCAAAAAACAATTACTTAACCTGACCTTAACTTAATTAAAAAAAATAGATTCATATCAAAATCCGTTAGAAATAAGTTTTTTTTTTTGAAAAATGAGGAGATAAATAATCTTATTAATACATGTCAATGCTTTTTTGACGAAGGAACGACAAATACTACTTTAGTAAAAATATTTAGATTATGTTTATATAATAAAGCTAGAATAGTATTACTTCAAGAAATATTTTTAAAAAATGTTTTAAAAATGTTTTTTTAATATTTCCTACGATTTATGTTTATAATACTTTTATAGGAGAAAAAAATCAGTAACTAAATTCCGATTAAATCATGGAACATTCGATATAAGCAATATTGAACGAGATTTTATTCGGAAAATTACTGTTCAAAATTTATCTTTTCATCTTTTGAAAGATTTTTCAACATTTATAAAATCTAAATTGTATACTTATATACCAAATATGAACTTTTTCTAAAATACTTGAAATACCACAACTATATGCGGTCAATGAAGACGATATTAATTTGCAATCCTCCATCAACAAGTGCTATAATAATCTAATTTATTACTAGATTCAAGTGGGGCTTAATCTGAAAACGGAAGCACGAGACATACTTCATGACAATACAAAAAAAAATTAGCATAATGGACAAAGAATTTTTGTACACCAAAGATATGGAGATGACACAATATACTTTGATGCCATGAAGTTGTTACAAAAATAGTTAACATGGAAATGGATGTTATTCAGACAATATGACTGACTGAATAAACTTCTCATGAAAGACTAGAACTCACCACCATTATCACCCAAATCTTTAAACTTGGACGAAATTCATATTATGAATCTTGACAACATACAAGAAGGATGAAATATACTAAAAAAAATTCAAAAGAGCTATCAAAGTCTTAAACTGAAAAAAGATAGTAACAATAAATAAAAGTACAAGACATGAAAGTCACCACAAGAAGACAAAAAAAATACAATTATGTGAAATTCTATCATGACGGATTTCAAAATAAATTGAATATAGTTATGATCAGGAGCCTATAAACGATGAAGCTTGCAAACAACCAAGGCATCACCTTCTGTACTATCAATTTCCTCTCTAGCTTAGTTTTCTTAGTTTTTTTTTTGTAATGTTTTCGTTCTATTTCTTTTGTATCACTATCCTCTTCTATCATCATCTTTGTAAAATATTTCGCACTCATATTCCCATGTAATTATAAATGCTTTATATCATAATATTTTACGACTCTAATTTAGGATGGTAACGAGTCGGTTAGGTCGAGTTTTGGTAAATTCGACTCGACCTGAAAATATTTCATCCACTCGAACTCGATCCGACCTGAAATATATATTTTTGACTGAATCCGACCTGAGTTGACCCGAAGAAAACAATGACTTAATTAAAAAATTATATTTTTAAAGAAATTACATTATTATCCTCAGGTCGAGTCCGAGTTTTTCACCCTTTATCTGAAACCTGACTCGATATGATTTTACCATTTTACAAATTCGATTAGATTAGATTATAATTCTCTTCTTCTTGTTCTTTTTCCTCCTCTTGACTGTATCAAGTTAAAACCTTAACCTTTTCCCAAATCTCCCAGATTCTCATTAGACCAGAAGTTAGGAACTTGTCAAAGATTTGGATCTGTTTGCGTGTGGTTAGTGATTAAAAGCAGGATTTGGCGTGGGGTTATATTGCGAGATAAATTACTTCCATTTCCATATGTTTTCTCTTTGAGTTTCTTGGATCTGAATTTAGTTCTCAAATTTTTAGATTTCGTTTCCGATCCCCTTCAAAATTTGGGAATTTTTTTGGGTTTTTAGGGTTCTTAATTATAAGT